CCACCCCACCCCCCTCCACCCCCCTCATCATCTCCCTCCCCCACTCCACCCTCTTCTCCCTAACCTCCTCCAAATACCCCACCACCAGCCTCGCACACTCCTCCTTGGCCTTCTTCCGCCCAAACACATTGCGCACCTCGCACATGGGCCCGGCGTGCGGCCCGCCATTGCGGAAACTGCAGGACACCGTGTGGAAGTTTGGCTCCATTGGGTGCGAGCTATATGTGTATGTGGGCGTGGAGAGGGAGAGTTGGGTGGCGAGGTCGGCGGCGCGGGAGGCGTACGAGACGCTGGATTTGCCGGTGTTGTCCTGGTCTTCTGCTGGCGGATCGGTGTTACTGCTGCCTGGTGAAGAAGTTCCAATGACGGTGGGCTGCTGGTTCTGTTGATCCAATCCGGCCTTGGGTTTCGTCTTTTTGATGCCGCCTAGGAGTGGGATGTCTGTGGGCCATAGACCCTGTGCTTTGAAGTAGGCGACGGCGTGTCCTGCCGCATCTTGACGGGCTGCTTTTTTGTTCGCGTGCAGCGAGGTGAGGGAGCCAAAGGGGGTGGGGTGGCCATCTATCGACGCGAGACAGGCAAAGCGGGTGCCGGATTGGTAGTCTGTGTAAGTGGGTTGGGGGGAACCAGTTGCACGTTGGAATTCTGTGCATGAACATTTGTTAACAGGCTGATCCTGGACGTCAGTCTGCGGGCGAGAGGGAATTTCGTACCAAGTAACAAGCCCACATAATTCGGTCCTGGTCCCTTGATCTGGTTGCTCTTCTCACCTTCTTCAACACCTCCACTACTCTTCCTGCCCTTTCTTTTCCCCGCTCTTCCGTCCACCTTGCCTTCCTCTATCATTCGCTCCAACAACTCTAGGGCTATTTTACTCACGGCCTCCTTGGCCTCCTGCTTACTATTAAAAGTCCCCTCCTGTTTCACGCCCTGCAACTCCTCCACCTCCAACCCGGGGAAACTCACTGCAACACTCCAGCCCACATCGCTGCCTCCACTATACGTAAACAGCGGCTGGGGCAGAGCGAGCGCCTGGTACTTTTCGTGCAGGAGAATGGTATTCTTCGAGGAGCGGGCGCCGACCGCGACGGGAGTAAGGGGTGCCGTTGCCTCCGCAGAAGCCTTCTTTGCCTTTTTCGCAGGCGGCGGCGTTGGCGTAGTTTTTCCAGTCTTGACGCCTGCCTTGGAAGCTTGCTCGCGCGCCAAAAGAGAAGCCTCGTGATCGGCCTTGTGCTGGGCGAGGTAATCTTCTAGTTTGAAGACGCCATGCTGGGTAGGGTCGTTCACCGTAAGTGTACCCGGGAGAACAGGTAGCGCGGTGGAAGTATCGATTTCCATGGTCAAATCTGCCGCCGAGTCCTGGCTGTGTTTACTGCAATCCGGGGGCAAGGTATGAGTGAATTTGGGAATGGCAGCTGAACTTGAAATCGAGTCTGTATAGGGCGGGCGAATAGGCACAATCAGGTATTCATGTAAATCCTCGCCTGGCGTGCTGATTCCAATTGACGGCGATTTGTCGTCGGCCATGGGCAGGGTGGGATGTGTGTTGATGTTGGTGGTTTGGTGGGGCTTGCCCATGTGATTGCGCGACAACGTGTTTGCTGTTTGCACGCGTTGTTTGCGGGGTTGGCGGTGAGGCGGAGGGATGAATGGGTGGGATCAGCAGCGGTAAGAGTGCGGCTGTTGAGCATATCCAGCCGTTCAATGAGCGCTGTAAATATTCATCCTTCTGCCAACCGTAGATACCGCATCAGCGGTGTAAAATGCCAGAAGCCAATCCACGACACCGGTACCCATTCATTCCATACCGTAAACAAACGCAACAACAAGACAAGACGAGATGAATATTCTGCGTAGAAAAGAATAAGACTAAAAAAGGTGGTATTGCAGCAAGCATGACCTCGGACCTCCATATTTATACGCCTCCTTCCACGCTTTCCTACACCAGCTTACACATCGCACCTGCCCACAAGAAAGCACAAGGGAAGCTGGGAGATGGGGGAATGAAGTAAAATAAAATAAAAGGGGGTCCGGTAAAAACCGGGTTTTGGGAAAACATAGGATTTCAAGGGTATGGGTGGGGTTTTTTAGGGGGAGATGGACAAACACTTACATTTACAATTCCCCCCCCAGCAGATTCTTCCACTTCCATTATTTTAAATCCCCCAACCCCCCCAGCACCCTTTTCCCCCAAAAACCCCCCCCCCCCCCCCCAATCCACTCGAAATAAAGACCAGAAAATCCGCACACCTTCACCAGGAAATTGTAAGCTGCTATACTATTCCGATACAGCCGGGCGAAAGCGGGCGAGAAAGAGAAAAAAAAAGAGAGAAAAACCAGACAAGGAAAAGAAGACGGCACAATATACCCAGCCAGACACGCGAAAACCGAGCCATGAAACCCCCTATCCGAACCAAATACAAAAAAAAGAGAAATAAGTACAAAAACGGAAAGAAAAAACCACCAGCCTAAGCAGAAGCAGCCTCACTCTTCCTCTTTGACCGATCCCTCTTCTTCTCCTTGGGCGCCGCCGCCGCCGCCGCCGCCGCCGCCGCAGCAGCAGCAGCATTCTCCTTGTCGAGCTCAGCTTCAGTGCCACGCGTGCTACGGCTAGACTTGGTCTTCTTCTTCGCCGCCGTCTCCTCGACGACGGGTTCGGGGGCCGGGGAGGGAGGGGCAGGGGCAATGGGTTGGGGTGCTGCGCGCTTCTTCTTGTCTTTTTTGGGGGCTGCGGTCTCGACGACGATGGCGTTTGAGGAGGAGGTGGTGGTGGTGGTGGTGGGGGGTGGGGCTACGGCGGAGCGGGATGTAGGTGGCAAGGGGATGGGGGTGGATGTTGTGGCTGGCGCGACGGAGACGGGGGCTGCGTTGGTGGTGGTGCCGTTTGTGACGGGGGCGGTGGCAGTCTTCTGGCGCTTGCGAGGTGTTTTGGCGGGTGGGGAGGGTGCTTTGGCAGCGGGCTCTTCTTCCTCGTCCGAATCGTCCGAGTCCATGGCTCCGGCGTCGGCTTCGATTTCCGCTTCGCCTTCGTCCGAGGCTTCTGCTTCGTCGTGGATGGCTGCGGCGTTGCCGCCTTGTTTGGCAATGTACTCGGCCATTTCGACTTTCCATTGCTCCATTGAGTTGCGGTAGGATGCCTTCCATTGCTGTCGTGTGTCAGTCGACTAGACGCTGTGGAAGCTTCATGTCATGGGTACTCACCTCCTTCTCCTCTTCAGAGAGCTCATTCCATCGCTTGTTGACCTCAATCTGCACGGCGTTCTTCTCAATCGTCGCGCCCGGTGCGAGAGCCAACTCGAGGTCTCGCTTGACAATGGAGCGGGCATGCTGGGCATAGAGAAAAGCAGCCGTCAGCGGCTTCTTGGGCGCATTCGGATCGCGAATCTTCTTCTCGCGCTTGCGCTTCTTGCCCTTGTTGGCCTCGGCGGCAGCGGCAGCGGCAGCAGCGACCTGGCTGGCGGTTTGGATGGCCTGGCCTACGCCATTGGACGCGACGGCTGCAGCGTCCATGGCAGAAGTAGCGGCCGCTGCGACGGACGTGGGAATCTGGAGCTTGTCGAGGTCGCCATCTTCACCGGCGAGGATGGACGAGGTGTGCTGCATGTATGCGCGTAGGAGATCGTTGAGGCCATTCTGGACGTGGGTGAGGCCACCCTGGAGGTTGCTGAGAGCGACAATGACCTGATGGTACGAGTGAGTATGTATTGTTTCGTGAGTTGTCATCATGGCCGCTGCTGTCGTAGCGCTGGGGCGGCTCGGTGATGCTGCTGCTTGCGCCAGCGTCGTTGCGCCAGAGCATCCGCCGTCGTGGCGCGATAAGACGCGCTGGTCGGGCGAGCCATGCGCGAGACGAGGACTGTGGGTAGGCGGGTTGCAGCGCAGTTGCAGTGCAGTGCCGTGCAGCAGGGTGGACGAGACACAGAAAAGGCCACTTACGGAATCGCGCGTCTTTGTGTACTGCTCGATCGAGACCATGAGCTCGCCAGTATCTTCGCGCTTCTGCTTGGGCGCCATAGTGGGCGATGTTTTGTTGTTGTGCGCGGTTGGTGGTGGTGGG